TCACAGTGACTCATTGCATTATGTACACATTCATTTTACCTCACGGTTACTCACTGCATTATACACACATTCATTGTAACTCACAGTCACTCATTGTATTCTGTACACATTCATTGTAACTCGCAGTCAATCATTGCCTAACGTACACATTCATTTCAACTCACTGTCACTCATTGCATTATGCACACATTCATTGTAACTCACAGTCACTCACTGCATTATGCACATATTCATTGTAACTCACAGTCACTCATTGTATTCTGTACACATTCATTTTAACTCACAGTCACTCAATGCATTATGTAAACATTCATTGGAACTTGCAGTCACTTATTGCATGATGTACACATTCATTGTAAATCACAGTCACTCATTGCATTGTGTACACATTCAATGTAACTCACAGTCACACACTGCATTCTGTACACATTCATTTTTACTCTCAATCACTCACTGCATTATGTACACATTCATTTTTACTCCCAATCACTCACTGCATTATGTACACATTCATTGTAACTCACAGTCACACACTGCATTCTGTACACATTCATTTTTACTCTCAATCACTCACTGCATTATGTACACATTCATTTTTACTCCCAATCACTCACTGCATTATGTACACATTCATTGTAACTCACAGTCACTCATTGTATTCTGTACACATTCATTTTAACTCGCTGTCCCTCATTGCATTATGTACACATTCAGTGTAACTCACAGTGACTCATTGCATTATGTACACATTCATTGTGACTAACAGTAACTCATTGCAATATGTACATATTCATTGTAACTCACAGTGACTCATTGCATTATGTACACATTCATTGTAACTCGCAGTCACTTACTGCATTATGTACACATTCATTTTAACTCACTGTCACTCATTGCGTTATGCACACATTCATTTTAACTCACAGTAACTCATTGCATTATGTACACATTCATTGTAACTCACAGTGACTCATTGCATTATGTACACATTCATTGTAACTCACAGTCACTTACTGCATTATGTACACATTCATTTTAACTCACAGTCACTCATTGCATTATGTACACATTCATTGTAACTCGCAGTCACTCATTGCATTATGTACACTTTCATTGTAACTCACAGTCACTCATTGCATTATGTACACATTCATTGTAACTCACAGTCACACATTGCATTATGTACACATTCATTGTAACTCACAGTCACTCATTGCATTATGTACACATTCATTGTAACTCACATTCACTTATTGCATTGTGTACACACTCACTGTAAATCACAGTCACTCATTGCATTATGTACACATTCATTTTATCTCACAGTCACTCATTACATTATGTACATATTCAATGTAACTCACAGTCACTCACTGCATTATGTACACATTAATTTTATCTCACAGTCACTCACTGCATTATGCACACATTCATTGTAACTCGCAGTCATTCATTGCATCCTCTACACATTTATTAAAACAGTATACTGTACTCTTGGGATAGCGACTAGGAATCGAATCTGAATTTACCGATAATAGTAATTTGGATATCACATATGTATTCGTCAAATACTAACTACTAGTATATTACTGGGATTTTGCATTCCAGTTCATTTAAATCATGTCACGTTAGCGCGTTACGTCACTAGACTGTATACAGTTTAAATCCTTTGCAAAATGAGACTGTGAGACGCCAGTTCCATCATTGATGTCTCCAAGCTACTCCGCTCCATCTTCATTTCCATCAATAAGTTATCAATATACCCTTGATATTCTGACGTTATTCTCAGACTACTTTGCTTCGCTGGGCGTATTATGTATTATAACTGAAACTATTTCCTTACTCTTGGATTAATTCAAGTTTTTCCAGTAAAATGTTCCGAAATTACCGTGCAACACCATATGGCTTTTATAGTTAGATATCACATTTACTGCAATTATTATAAGCGCTGAAGATGTTCGACTAGAGTGCCCTCACCGGCAAAACTCAATTGCGTTGTTTACGACTGTATGCCATTAAAATAAACATTATAAACTGCATGCACCTTTACATCATACCTGAAGTTCTTTATTGAATCGCTCGATAAGTCAACTACGATGTGTTTGTTCTAACGCTTCCATTAAAAGCTCAGGTTTTCAGTTGAATGTTTTTGTACACTATTCCACATAGGATATAAATATACAGCAAAAAAATGCCTCACCCTTAAAATAATAAATGCTAGTAAATTGCTATGGCAACATCACTGTGACACACTGATGTAATTACAGACGTTTGACTGATGCCCTTGCCCTGACAAACACACAAAACGTTTTGTTTGTCGTGTATGTTGGCGGTATAATATAATATACATTGTCGCCATATGAACAAGTACGTCTTCATATTTAAGTTATGTTTAGCTAAATCTCTTAGACGAATATTCCTAATATATTCTCTGAATTCAACGTCGAGTTCACGATAATGAGGGTACATGTCCTCGAGCGCCCTCACATAATCGAACGGCAAATGCAACACAAATATTACCGGGCATGCAACGTTACATTTAAGTTAAATGAAACAGTCGCAGCATATGCAGTATATTTGCATGACGTCATTTTTCCTTTGTGTATAAGTCAGGATGTACCTACTGCGCATTCGCTAGATGGCTGACTACTCGCGACGAAGTGAAATGATATGTGAGAGGTCTTGATGGGCGCCAGTGAACTAAAAACACCAAGCGCTGATCGTTCAACGTTTGAATTGTTAAGGTGATACTAAATTTGAGACACGCTGCCTGTTTGCATCATATCCATACAGTGTCGGTGGTACGTGAATGCTATCAGTTAGGTATGGCAGGCATCAGTTGTAGTAATAATCAGTCAAATACTAAGAGACGAAACGAGCAAGAGACAGTAGTACGTAGTCGAATAGTAGGTTTTTCTCACGAAAAAATTATCCATTCCGTTGCTCCAGAATTCTGGGAAGCGTTTTCCTTGTTTGATAAAAATGGAGATGGAACAATCAGTATATGGGAACTTGGAACTGTGATGAGATCTCTGGGACAAAATCCGACAGAAGACGAACTGCAAGAAATGATCAAAGAAGTAGACGAAGACGGTGAGTTGACACTGTATGCAAGCATGATATGAAGTGGCATGTGTGAATGTAAAATGTTATATTTACAATTGAATGAGAAAATTATTGCCGTGTATATGTATATGGAACACGATGGTATAAACTCAACCTGACATCGTTTTATGGTAAGAATCAGTCATTTAATCGTGACTGATTTTGACTTTTGACGAGTAAAGCAACAATCTCAGTGGGAATGAATACACGCTCCACCGATTAACCGATAAGTTTAATTAGTGCCACATCGACTTGGCATACATACTAATCATTTCATTGTATTATTTTGATATGACTCCCGCACGCACATCCAACTCAAAGCGTATACGTTACTAACACAATTAATTGTGAATTGGAACATGTAGTTAAAATGATATATCGCTGGATTATTTTTTATTACGTTTGAGGGCTGCGACATATATACTGTATTTTATACTTTGCGGTCACGTGTTAGATACAGTACAGTATGGTCTATGGGTATATTTCAGAGTATAATTGCGTCACGTGTTAGATACGGTACAGTATGGTGTATGGGTATATTTAGATACGGTACAGTATGGTGTATGGGTATATTTCAGAGTATG